CCAACATGATGGTGTAGACCCATCTTAGTCTCAGGTGAGGAAGAATCATGGCAGGTATTTGGAGAAGAGCACCTGAGATGCTCTAAAGCAGAGCTGCCCTCTTTGTTTTCCTTTTGGCATCCCACAGGGGTTTAGGATGTTTTCATTAACTCTCCAAGGAGTGCTAAGTGTTATTTGTCACAAAGATTTTTTTTCACAAGCGACATAATCTAAACACTTCTGATGAGTACGATTAAACTTTGAATAAAAATTTATCCTCATCATAATGACCTCTTGTGAAGATCTTTTGATATTTTATTTTGATATTTCGGAAACACCTTCAATTCTTTCTTGATTAGAAGAAGAATCTTAAAACTTCCCTGCATATCCCCTAAATTAATAATTCATACTCCTTAAGCATAGCCAGTGTGAGTGCTTGCTAGTCCGTTTTGAATTTCATTTCAAGAGTAAGTCTGAGTTACTTTTTTTTTTTTTTTTTTTTTTTTTTTGAGATGGAGTTTGTCACCCATGCTAGACTGCAGTGGTGGATCTTCGCTCATTGTAACCTCTGTCTCCCGGGTTCAAGCAATTCTCCTGCCTCAGCCTCCAGAGTAGCTGGGATTACAGGCGTGCGTCACCATGTCTGGCTAATTTTTGTATTTTTATTAGAGATAGGGTTTCACCATGTTGGCCAGGCTGGTCTAGAGCTCCCAACTTCAGGTGATTCCTCCTGCCTTGGCCTCCCAAAGTGCTGGGATTACGGTCATGAGCTACTGCGCCCAACCTAGACAAATCTTTAGTTTGTATTTTCATCCTGCTTTCTTCTGCCCCTAATTTCTTAGAGATATCCTCAAGTCACATAAGGGAAAATTGTCACAAAGACATTTTGCTGTTAAAAATTATGCCTAGTTGGTTTTCTCAAGTTCTCAATCTTTAAAAGTGAGATGTGGTGTGAGCCTGTAGTTCCAGCTTCTCAGGAGGCTGGGGCAGGAGGATCGCATGAGCCCAGGAGTTCAAGTCCAGCCTGGGGAACATAGCAAGACCTCATCTCTTAAGAAAAAAAAAAAAAAGTTACTGTGAAAATTAAAATCTTTTTTGGCCGGGCATGGTGGCTCACGCCCGTAATCCAAGCACTTTGGAGGCCAAGACGGGTGGATCACCTGAGGTCGGGAGTTCAAGACCAGCCTGACCAACATGGTGAAACCCTGTCTTAAAAAAAAAACCAAAAAACCTTTTTTAAGATAACTTTAGCTACATCATTGAGTTTGATGAGCTGACTGGGGATCATATCAGTAATAACAGTGAAATTCAGAAGTCCTTTCTCATAATAATAGGACATATAGGTTGGAGACTCCTTGTAGAAACGAGCACCTGTTCACTTTGTATTGCCCCCAGTCCTCATTCTACTTTCCTACTGTCCTTCAAAAGCTGCAGATAATGGGTTTATACTTACTTTTCATTGGTACCATTAAGTGGATTAGAGGAAAAAATATTTTAGCCTTTTTTCAGGCAAGTTGAAGCGTAAAGAGGGAAAAAAAGTGATCTTACTCCTTGTTTTTCAAATATATTTTCCCTTTGCCTCTAGTCTCTAAGCTCCTTTTGAGGAAAAAGGTTGCTGCTTATTCTTCTTTGAGTCTGGCATCACAGCTGGCTCAGGATTTAAAATATACGTATATATGGAATGTTCCATGAATTTGGTGCCATCCTGGTGCGAGGGCCATGCTAATTTTTTCTGTATTGTTCAACTTTAGTATATGTGCTGCCGAAAGGAGCACTGCCTTGGAATTTATTATGCATGTGTATAGAAAAGGATTAAGTAATCAAAGATCTGTGCTGGAGGGTGGAGTCGGTGGTCAAGCTAGTCCAGTTCTGCTGACTCTAAGAGATAAAGGTCAGCTCAGTGTGCCTCACTGATAAGATACTTGGGTATACAACGTAGGAATAGAACAGTAATCAGTGAGGTAACCTTTATGTAGCAAACTTGGGGCTCCTGATTTGTGCCAGACACCGTGTGGGCCTTTGGAGACTCAAAGAGGAAAGAAAGACACTGCCTGCCCTTCCATTTTCTACGTCTAGTTTCTTGGCAAAGTTGTGTAACTCCTTGAGCCACAGCTTCCTCATTTCTGAAAAAGGAAGAATATTTGCCTTTAAAGCCATGCCTACTGAATGATCTGTCACTTCAATATTTCACTCATTGTAAGTAGTCAGATAGTTGTAGCTTAAGCCGTCCACTGCCTACTGAAGTGAGACAGGTGAACAAGCCATTGTACTGTGAGTAAGCACTTGTTCGGCGGTGCATAAGCGATCTGCTGGGAGGTTCGTATGCACAGGTGTGGGGAGATAGCACAGGTTGGTGCCTCTTCCAGGAGGGCCTTGTATGGAAGGCTTCGAGGAGGAGGTGGTAGCACTTGAACCTGGAATTGAAGCCCAAATAAAGAATAGCTGGCAAAAAGGGAAGGGCGTTCTAGCCAGTAAGAAATCTCTGACTCTTATACTCGGACTCTGCCAAAGCTCATGCTGGGGGGAAGGGGTGGGGTCTAGAGAAGTATAAAATGGGTTTTCATTTTTTTAAATTTTTATTTTGGCAGTCATCTTTGACTATAAAATGGGTTTTTAAGCAAAGGAAGGATTTTTAAATTCCGATGAGGTGTTGGATTAAGAATAGGCCTTTGGTTTGGTGAAGCATTTGCCTGTGAAGCTTGGCAACTTCTTTTGTAAGCTTTTGTTGTAAGGAATTCTGCGGGAAGCAGGAGGGCTCCCCTGTGGTGGGCTCCCTCCCCCTGTGGTGGGATCTGAGCACACTCAGTGGCAACCCACCCACTGGCTTCACAGTTGCTGCCAAATTCCACTTCCAGAGGGAAATGATTCTATTCCTTTCTGACTCTGAATGTCGAACAATCAAGAATACCCTAATGTACTTTAACGAGTAGGTAAATATCTTTCTGTGTGTGATACTGCCTGGATAAGTCAAGACAGCCCATCTCATGTTTTAAAACTTAAGACGTAAGGAATGTGTATTGCAGGAAGATACACTGTATTGATGCTGAACCTAATTGTAAGGCTTTATAATAGCAGGATAATCCAAATAAAGGTCTTCTGTCACTTCCAAATTCTTGTAAAAATGATTCGATCAAATCCAGTGGCCTTATTCTAAAATCCAGCATCTTTTGCATTTTTACTGTGTTTAAAGGCACCATGGTAAATGTGATACCTTGTCACCTCATTTAATAATCAAAATAACTTTATGTAGCAGGTAGTTTTCTCCTTTTTTTTTTTTTCAGATGAAAACTGAGGCTTTATAGAATTTGTGGTTGGCAGACCTGGGGTGAGCCCAGATAATCTGATGCCATTGCCATTGGGTGTGGGGGTGTGGGGGGGGTTGTGGGTGTGTGTGGGTGTGTGTGTGTGTGTTTGAGACAGGGTCTCATTCTGTTACCCAGGCTGGAGTGCAGTGACACAGTCACAGCTCACTGCAGCCTCCACCTGTCAGGCTCAAGAGATCTTCCCACAGCCTCCCGAGTAGCTGGCACTACAAGCACATGTACCTCACCTGGCTAAAATGCCATTGATCTTATCACCAAGCTAAAGTGGTTCAACCCTTTTGAATAGCTGCTGTTTTTCACAGAAATAATTTGTAGATTTATTTTTATTTTTTTCCCACACTTTATTTCTGTTCCTTTGCTTTAAAACAGCTAAGTGATTCATCTAGGGTTAACACTTGTTGGAGGTCTTTGATTTTTTTTTTTTTTTTAAGAGTTTCAGAGTCATAGGTAATAATTTAAAGACTATTAGGTGAAATTTAAAGAGTGTTGGAACTGTTACATAAAATCTAACAGTGTTGGGAGTCTAATTGGCTGTGCTTTTTATACTTAAATTTTTTCTCCCAAAGGTTCTGTGGTAAGCCTTCCATGTTAATGTTGACTTAAAGGAAGAAGCTGAGGCAAAATTAATATAGAGAATGTATTTGGGCCAAGTTTGAGAACAGCTGCCTGGGACATGCTTCCAAGCTGCCTTGGGGAGTGCTCCATTCTGCCTTTTTTATAAGCAAGTTTTTAAAGGCAAAAAAGGGGACAAGGAGTGGGCAGAAACAAAGTTGTTTATCAGGAATTCTCATGGATTTATGGAAATAATATTGATAGGTTGTTGAGCTATAGCAGGGTAGCATTGTTACGTTAAGCAGTTTCTGGAGATAACTACAGAGCTCGTTTGCTGTTTAATTTTAATGCCTCTCTGGCCTGATAAGCTTTAAGACAGGGCTTGCATTCCTCAGATAAGAAGTATCTATATATGTATTTTACATTAACAAGGCATCGTTTCTAATGGATGTTACTTCTGTAGGATGAATTCACTTACACATCAGAATGAAATAAGGAAAGTGAAAAGGGAAGGCACTGATGTTGTGTGATACATTGTGCATGCTATTAGTGATACAGCCATTGAGAACATACATTGAGGGAGAATAAACAAATCTCTTATTAAAAGAGCAGAAGTCAGTTTGAGCTTCTTAATTTCTTTTGTGGTTTTGACATTCCACGTTTAGAGATGAATGGATTAAGAACCACCAGTGTGCCTTGTTCTAGATTAGTGCTTTTCCAAGTGTGGTGCCCAGACAGCAACATTAGCACTACCTGAGAGCTTGTCAGAAATGAAAATTCTAACCCAGACCTAGCTTAGGTTAAATGAGACTGGTCTTTCTAATGTGGGCATGAGATAATGAGACCAGTCTTCCTAACATGGAGGTGGAAAATTGCCACAGTTAATTATTCAACCTAAATCACATTAGGATGAGAATTAGGTGATCAGATTTTCCTTCATACTTGTTTAGCAGTAGCACTGTTTATATGTCTATTAAAAAATGGATTTGACTATTAACTTGTATTGATTCCCTTTTTATTATTAGTGTTAATAACATTTAATGAGCCACATAAATATTAGATCATGTATATAAGATAATTTTCTTCAATATCTTCCCCCTTTTCATTACAAGATAAATAATAACTATCTCTTGGGGTTTTTTAAAGGTTAAAAATGTGTCTGCAGGCACAGAGGACATGCCTCCACCCCCATCTGACTATGTGGAAAGAGTTGACAGTCCCATGGCATACTCTTCCAATGGCAAAGTGAACGACAAGCGGTTTTATCCAGAGTCTTCCTATAAATCCACACCGTAAGTAGCAGCTCTTTTAGTTTGATAGACTGAGTGTAAAAATGAGTATTTGCACATGATTGATTTTTGTTGTTTTGTGCCTTTATCCATAAAAAAAAAATCCAGCGTCATCTAGGAATGCAGTGGGAAAATAAAGAAAAAAAAGTATCCAGCAGTGCACACAAAAACTGGATCTGGATCCTGGTATTACAACAATCTTTGCTTTGTTGATAGAGAGGTCTTCCGCTACTTGGAAGAGGGAGATGAGGAGGGTGGGGTTCTTTTTCCCTTCTAAGTTGAAAATGCTTTTCACTTGCTTATTTAATTGAAAAGGCTGGGCTGGGCTCTTTCACTCTGGGAATGTGGCTCTGCTGTTTCTGGTTTTGAAGTTTAGGTGAGGGTGAAAGGAAGTTACTGAGCAGAGGTCAGTACTGTGCTCAACCTCTTCTTTTGCCTCTAATTGTTGAATCTCATAAACAGAAGGAGGACATTGCACATTAATCAACCTTGTCCACATACATTTCTATTAAAGTAGAAGACTTCATTTGAATCCAGGAATTGCAGTATTTCATTTGCTGTGCTAGGTCCTCGGTATTGCTGGGAGATGTGAAACCTCAGTAAGCATCTGGCTTAGGGTAGGTGCCATGTGATTATTGAAGTGGTGTCTCTGGTGGAAACACTTACCCTAAAGCCCAATTTTAATTCCACCTAATGACTAGTCAGAGAAGAATATTGCAGATAATTGGTATGGACGGGGATGTAATTTTTGCTTAAGGATGATAAAATCGGTATTTTTACATATACAGTCATGCATTGTTTAATGATGGGAATACTGAGAAGTGTGTCTTTAGGCATTTCATCCTTGTGTGAACATCGCAGTGTACTTAACACAAACCTTGATGGATAGCCTACTACAAGCCTAGGCTACGTGGTATAGCTTCTTGCTTCTACGCTGCAAATGTGGACAGCATGTTAATGTACTAAATACTCTAGGCATTTGTAATACAGTGGTAAGTATTAGTATATCTCAACACAGAAAAGGTACAGTAAATGTAAAAGATTAAAAAAGGGTCCATCTTTGTAAGGTACTTACCCTGAGTGGAGCTTGCAGGACTGGAAGTTGCTCTGGGTGAGTAAGGGAGTGAGTGGTGAGTGAATGTGAAGTACATTACTGTACACTTTAAATTTACTCAACATTTTTCTTTCTTCAGTAATAAATCTTAGCTTTCTATAACTTTAATTTTTTAGACTCTTAAAACACAATCACATGGCTGGGTGCAGTGGCTTACGCCCTTAATCTTTGCTTTGTTGGTAGAGAGGCTCCTGGCTACTTGGAAGACCAGGATGAAGAGGATGGGGTTCTCTTTCCCTTCTAAGCTGAAAATGCTTCTTTTCACTTGCTTGTTTAATGGAAAGGCTGGGTTGGGTTCTTTCACCCTAAGAATGTGGTTTTTGCTATTTCTGCTTAATCCCCACACTTGGGGAGGCCGAGGCGGGTGGATCACCTGACATCAGGAGTTCAAGACCAGCCTGGCCAACATGGCGAAACCCTGTCTCTACTAAAAATACAAAAATTAGCTGGGCATAGTGGTACACACCTATAATCCCAGCTACTTGAGAGGCTGAGGCAGGAGAATCACTTGACTCTGGGAGGCGGAGGTTGCATTGAGCTGAGATCGCACCACTGTATTCTAGCCTCGGTGACAGAGTGAAACTGTATAAAAAACAACAACAACAACAAAATAAAACACAATCACAAAGCCTGGCACAGTCGTGCACACAAGTAGTCCCAGCTAATTGGGAGGCTGAGGTGGGAGGGATCACTTGAGTCCAGGAGCTCAAATCCAGCCTGGGTAATATAGTGAGACTTAAAACAACAATAACAACAGACAAACCACACCTACATTGTCCAGACGTAGAGAAATATTTTCCTTATTCTATAAGCATTTTATTTTTTTGGTAGAGACGTGGTCTCGATCTGTCACCCAGGCTGGAGTGCAGTCGTGTGATCATAGCTCACTGTAGCCTTGACCCCCTGTGGTCAAGCAATCCTCCTACTTTAGTCCCCTGCGTAGCTGTGCACCACCATGTCCAGCTAATGTTTTTCTATTTTTTTGGTAGAGATAGGATCTCGCTATGTTGCCCAGGCTACTCTTGAACTCCTGGGCTCAAGCGATCTGCCTGCCTCAGCTTCCCAAAGTGCTGGGATTACAGGCATGTGCCACCATGTCCGGCCACCAGGCTGTTCTTCGACTCCTGACCTCAAGTGATTCTCCCGCTTTCACCTGCCTCAGCCTCCCAAAGTGTTGGGATTACAGGCGTGAGCCACTGTACCTGGCCTACTTCCAAGTTTTATCCCCAATGCCTGACTCCTGATTAGTGGGCCATGGTATATGAGATTTACTCTGGGTGCATAGTAGTTTAAGCCTGGAAACCCATAAGATGACATCAGCAGCGGAGTTAATTACAGAATTAATTTGAAGACAATAACCTTTATTATTACCCTGGGATTGAATTTGGGAAAAGACTGGCAGTCTGACGACTCTTCAAACTCTTACATGTTTTGTTTTGGTATTCAGACTTGATCTTGCTATTGATTTCAATTGTGAATGATTTGGAGAAAGCACTTTGTTTTTCATTTTTTGAGACAGAGTCTCGCTCTGTCACCAGGCTGGAGGGCGGTGGTGTGCTCTCTGCTCACTGCAACGTCTACCTCCTGGGTTCAAGTGATTCTCCTGCCTCATCCTCCTGAATAGCTGGGACTACAGGCAAGTGCCACCACACCCAGATTTTTTTTTTTTTTTTGGTAGAGATGGGGTTTTACCATGTTGGCCAGGATGGTCTCGATCCCTTGACCTTGTGATCCACCCACCTTGGCCTCCCAAAGTGCTAGGATTACAGGTGTGAGCCACCGCACCTGGCAAGAAAGCACATCTTCTCTGTTATTTCTTCTCTTTGGATTTTGACAAAAATTAAAGCACTTGAGACTGTTAGGGAAAAGGGTACACGAGAGAGATGCAATCCTTATAAAGGGTTTTTTTTTTTCCTTCCATAGTTTGTTTGAGACAGTATTTCACTCTGCCACCCAGACCTACAGTTCAGTGGTGTGATCACATCTCACTGTGACCTTGGACTCCTGGGCTCAAGCAGTCCTCTTGCCTCATAGCTCACTTTAGCCAGGTCCGTAGGTGTGTGCCACTATGCCTGGCTAATTTTTTATTTTTATTTTTGTAGAGAAGGGGGTCTTGCTTTGTTGCCCAGGATAGTCTCGAACTCCTGGCCTTAAGTGATCTTCCTGCCTCAGCCTCTAAAAGTTTTAAGCTATGATTTGCAGAACATTTTTTTTCTCTTCTTTTTCATGTCAGACAGGTAATGTGAAATATTGTAACAAGATTTGAGTGTGGCACATTTCACACATGTGTAAACACCCAATCATCATGCCCATTAACTATAAAAGGGCCAATCTGCAGAACTTTCATACATGCAAAATATCTGTCTACATTATGTCTTGTCACCAGCTGTGCCTCTAAATTGTAAGGCCTGCAATGGTTCCACAGCATTTTCTGGTGTTGTCCCTTTTCATGAAAACCAGGATGGTTTCACAAATTCATTTGAAAATCTTATTCCTTAATAAGGATTAATCTTAGTCTTGAAATGAATACTTTATATAGTATAAAATTTCAAAGGGACAAAAGGTACCAGCTAACTAGTTCCTCTCCCCAGAGGCAACTAATGTCATCAGTTTCTTTTGTATTTCTCCAAAGATTAAAAGCAATAAAATATTGGCCAAAGTACATTGATTTCTCCCCTCTGCCCCTTTAAAATACTAGCATACCAGAGCTGGGCACAGTGGCTCATGCTTGTAATTGCAGCATTTTGAGAGGCTGAGGTGGGTGGATTGCTTGAGCCCAGGTGTTCAAGAACACCCTGGGCATTATTGCAAAATCCCCTCTCTGCAAAAAATAGAAAGATTAGCCAGGCATGGTAACACATGCCTCTAGTCCTAGCTACTCAGGAGCAAGGTGGGAGGATTGATTAAGTCCAGGAGGTCGAGGCTGCAGTGAGCCAAGACTGTGCCACTTTACTTCAGTCTGGGTGACAGAGCAAGACCCTGTTTCAAAAAAAAAAAAAAAAAAAAAAGAAAAAATACTATCATATCAAATGTATTATTAGCAATATATTTTATCTTGGGTATTGTCCATATCACTATGCAATGAGTCGATTGATTCTGTTTTTTTTTTTTTTTTTTTTTAATTATAACCAAGAAGCAGCACTATTCTATTTTATTGCTGTATAATAGTCTATTAAATAGCTATACATGATGGATTGATTGATTGAGGTGGAGTCTCACTCTGTCACCCAGGCTGGAGTGCAAAATGGCTCAATCTCGGATCACTGCAACCTCTGCCTCCCGGTTTCAAATGATTCTCCTGCCTTAGCCTCCTGAGTAGCTGGGATTACCCAGGTAATTTTTAGTAGAGAAGGAGTTTTGTCATGTTGACCAGGCTGGTCTCAAACTCCTGACCTTAGATGATCTGCCTGCCTTGGCTTCCCAAAGTGCTGGGATTACAGGCGTGAGCCCATGAGCCACCGTGCACGGCTGGTATACCTAACATATTCGTCCTATGTAATGCACACTTTTCCCCAATGAATGAACGATATCTTCCTCAGAGCGTGGTAATGATGGAAGGGTTTTGGCTCACGCCTGTAATCCAAGCACTTTGGAAGCCTGAGGTGGGTGGATTGCCTGAGCTCAGCTGGCAATCAGCTCGAGACCAGCCTGGGTAAAATGGTGAAACCCTGTCTCTCCTAAAATACAAAAAAATTAGGTGGATGTGAAAATTAGGTGGATGTGGCAGCATGTGCCTGTAATCCCAGTTACTTGGGAGGCCGAGGCAGGAGAATTGCTTTAACCCAGGAGGCAGAGGTTGCAGTGAGTGGAGATTGCACCACTGCACTCCAGCCTGGGTGACAGAGCGAGACTTAGTCTTAAAAATAAAAATAAAAATAAAGAAATTGTAAAGTGTAGTTCATAGTAGAGTACTGAGTGTTATAGAGGATTCAAAGGACATCTACTTCAATGGGAATAAGAACACTTAAGTCATATCCTGTCTTTCCTAAAGCATTCTTGCAGGTGCTTAGTAACCCATGAGCACCTCTCTTTCTCACCACTCTAGTGGATAGAGAAGGAATTGGATGGAGAACATTATGTCTGTCCATCCATGCTAAGGATGAGGTAACTCAGCATTAAGATGTATTTTTCTCCCATAGCATAATGTACATTCCATAAAAAGAGCACTAATATTGAGTATGCAGCTTGATGAGTTTTCCCTGATATGAACACTTAAGTCCTAACACCAAGATAAAGACATTTGAGCCCCACATAAGGTCCCCATGGACCCTTTCTCCATCAGTACCCACCCACACCTACCCCGAGGTAACTGCTGTTTTGATGTCTGTCATCATCTGTTTATGTGTTATTATTGGACTTGATATAAAATGGAATCATGCAATTTACTCTCATATCTGGCTCCTTTTGCTTATAATGTCCTATACCTTAGAATTTTAAGGTAGTCAGCTTGGAGAATTAATCCAGCATTGGGGACACCAGAATTTAGCTGCAGATGGGTGCCTCTCCAAACTTACCAAATGAACTTGGGAGAGTCCTATTAGGTACACTCCTGACTATCCTGTCCACACCCAGGTGGAATTACCCTTCATAAATCAAGAAAGTTGAATGTTGCTGCAGTGCGAAGCTTTCAAAGCAGGCTGACTCCTTGCAGCGTCAAATGAGATCATTGTTTGGTAGTAATAGGCTGGTAGAATGATATTAGGACTTTTATCCAAGTTAGAGGAATTTTAGAAACCTAGTTTCAACTAGTTTACGACTGTGCATGGTGGTTCAGGCTGATAATCCTAGCACTTGGGGAAGCCAATGAGGTGGGAGGATTGCTTGAGGCTAGGAGTTCGAGACCAGCCTGAGCAACATAGGGAGACCTTGTCTCAATTAAAAAGAAAAATCATGGAAAAAAAATAGCTTAGGGAAAAAGGAGGAATTATCTGAGTCACATGAGGCCCAAGAATGCCTCTAGCTTCAGGCATGACATAATCAAGGGATTCAGAATATGGCAGCGCTCTGTGTGCTCTCTTTCATCTGTTGATTTGTTGGCTTTATTCTCAGTTGAGCTTCTGTTGTGACAGGATAGCCACCTATCACTTTAAAAAAAGTTTTTAAACTTTTTAGAGACAGGGTCTCACTGTTTCACCCAGGCTGGAGTGCTGTGGTGTGATCATAGCTCACTAAATCCTCAAACTCCTGCTCTCAAGTGATCCTTCTGCCTCAGCCTCCTGAGTAGCTAGCACTACAGGTGCATGCAATCACGCCTGACTTGTTTTTGTTTTTTGTTTTTTTGAAATGCAGTCTAGCTCTGTCACACAGGCTGGATGGAGTACATTGGTCCCATCTTGGCTTATTGCAACCTCTACCTCCCAGCTTCAAGCGATCCTCCCACCTCAGCCTCCTGAGTAGCTGGTTCACAGCCATGTACCACCACACCCAGCTAGTTTTTGTATTTTTAGTAGAGACAGGGGTTTCACCATGTTAGTCAAGCTAACTAACTCAAACTCCTGCCTTGGCCTCCCAAAGTGCTGGGATTACAGGTGTGAGCTACTGCACCCAGCCAGCTTGTTCTTTTTATTCTTCATTCATTCGTTTTATTCTCACACACACTCCTTCACGCTGCCTTTGTTGCTCCTACCTTGCCCTGACTCTCAGTGTAGTTGTTGTGCACTTTTTCCACTCCTATTTTGTGGCCTCCATGAGAACATGAACCTGGTCTTCCCGCAGTCACCTGCCTCAGTACTGTACGCATGTTAGGTGTTCAGGATAATTACTGAATTGAAAACACATTCATAAGAATCCTTTTCTTATTATACACAGAGTCAGTGAAGTCAGAGAAACAATGCATGATCAGCATCCAGTGCCGTGACTGTTAGAATGATGTTTGTTATACACACGGTATTTTAGAGCTGCCATCATTATTGGGAGACATATCTAAGTCTTGCTTGTCAGAGAACATTCTCCTGGCTTCAAGGATGATAGTGACCCGAGAAGGGCCAATCAGAATGTTTTTGCTATGTAAGCTTTGGGAAAGGGAACTTCATGCTAGACTGAAAAGATAATGCAGCTAGGGAAATGTGGATGGCCCAGCCTGGACAACATAGTGAGACCCTGTCTCTACAAAAAAATTAAAAATTAGCCCAGTGTGGTGTTGCTCACACCTGTAGTCAGTACTTTCTTGTGAAACATTTTGCTTTTAGCTTTCATGCTAGATCAAGTATGCTAATATTTTAAAGAGTGTAGGAGGAGGGGAGGACGACTTCCAAGGTAAAGATATGTATCAGTGTCATAAAAATTCTGGCAGGAGGTCTGCTTTTGACGTTTTACTTTTTGTTTTATGGTTTTTATCTAATTTATTTTGCCCTTTAGTTTCCTCGCTCTTTGGCCCCACCCCTAAAATAGATCCACTGCATTCTAAACGTTTTGTTTTGCTCCCTCAAAGAAGAGGCATAGTACCTGGCAGTTTTGGCAGAGTGTCTAGGAACTTGTTAATCATTGACTCATGGAGAAAGTCACATTTTCCCTCCATTAGAAGTAACATTAGCATAGCACACAAAGCCATATTACCTTAATAAAAAAAATTTTTTTTTTTTTTGAGACAGATTCTCATTCTGTCACCCAGGCTGGTATGATCTCAGCTCACTGCAACCTCTGCCTCCTGAGTTCAAGCAATTCCCCTGCCTCAGCCTTTCAAGTAGCAGGGATTACAGATGCCTGCCACAGTGCATGGCTAATTTTTATATTTTTTGTAAAGACAGGTTTTCGAGGCCGGGCGCGGTGGCTCACGCCTGTAATCCCAGCACTTTGGGAGGCCGAGGTGGGTGGATCACGAGGTCAAGAGATAGACCATCCTGGTCAACATGGTGAAACCCTGTCTCTACTAAACATACAAAAAATCAGCTGGGCATGGTGGCGCATGCCTGTAATCCCAGCTACTCAGGAGGCTGAGGCAGGAGAATTGCCTGAACGCAGGAGGCGGAGGTTGCGGTGAGCCGAGATCGCGCCATTGCACTCCAGCCTGGGCAACAAGAGCGAAACTCCATCTCAAAAAAAAGGTTTCCACCGTGTTGGCCAGGCTGGTCTTGAACTACCGGCTTCAAGTGATCCGCCTACCTTGGCCTCCCAAAGTGTTGGGATTACAGGTGTGAGCTGCTGCCCCTGGCCATAAATCTTTAAAGAAGAAATAAATACCACTCTCACCTGCATCTACACACATGTTCCCCAAAGAGTCTGCAAGAAATTATGTGCTTAGAAATCTAAGACTCTGACAACAGAGCAAAGCACATGTAGATCACTTAGAAGAGGGACTAAACCTGGTAGTTTATAAAGCTCAGTATGATAGTTTATGTAAACTGGCGTCAAAAAGAAACGCTTCAGACATTTTAAATAGTTGATTAGAAAGCTAGGCTGTTCTTGCCCTTTTCTACAGGATCATGAAACTTCGTATTTCTTTTACTCAAAAGTAGTTCCCACTTTCAGCATTGGTATTTTATTCCTCAGTTAGGGTTATTTTCATGTTTGTGGCTGAAACATAAGCAATTTAAATATGCAATTCTGATGCAATTTGAATAATTTTATTAGAAAAAATAGTAAGTGTGTGATGGTAACCCTTCTGTTCATTCTACTGGATTAACAGCAATTTAAAAAAGAATCCTAAAAGGACTCTTAACTTTATTGCAATGTAAAGCTTTTCGATTTTTTAGTTTAGATATTTAGTTTATCCTGCAAGATTTTATCTTAATATGAGAATTGATATATGGGAGTATAAGATTGATATTATAGGCCGAGCACAGTGGCTCACGCCTATAATCCCAGCACTTTGGGAGGCCGAGGTGGGTGGATCATGAGGTCAAGAGATTGAGACCATCCTGGCCACTATGGTGAAACCCCGTCTCTACTAAAAAATACGAAAATTAGCTGGGCATGGGTGACACGTGCCTGTAGTCCCCAGCTACACAGGAGGCTGAGGCAGGAGAACTGCTTGAACCTGGGAGGCGGAAGTTGCAGTGAGCCGAGATCACGCCACTGCACTCCAGCCTGGTGACAGAGCGAGACTCTGCCAAAAAAAAAAAAAAAAAAAAAAAGATTAATATTATAAAGAGTGTATGTGCATTCCTCCCCACGCAGCATTCCATGGAACTAGAAGAACCTGTAGAAAAGAATCATGATCATTATTTTCCTGATAGCCTTTGTAGAGTATGTCCCTGGCACAGGTTAAGTAAATGCTTCTTGTAGATCAGCCTGAGCTTTTAAAATGAAACCTGAGATGCATTGTACTTAGAAGGTTTAAAAATGGCTAATCCCCTTTAAATTGGAAGCTACTACTTGTGTGTATTAGGGGACCCTGAGCTGCTGTCAAATTGAATGCAGGAAACTAGGCATCTGCTCGGTGTTGAGCAGGTGAAGTCCTTGCGTGAGTGCACCTGCATGCAGATGTCTCCTGGTGTTTGTTATTGCTGTGTGATTACACTCTGTGATTACAGTGCACTGGCAAGCGGCTGTAGTGTACTCAACAATGATGCCTGTTTTTATTAGGGTTCCTGAAGTGGTTCGGGAGCTTCCAGTGACTTCACCTGTGGATGACTTCAGGCAGCCTCGTTACAGCAGCAGCAGTAACTTTGAGACACCTTCAGAAAGGCCTCCTGCAAAGGGAAGAGCGGGAAAGTCGAAGAGAACAGAGCAAGACCACTATGAAACAGACTACACAACTGGCGGCGAATCCTGTGATGAGCTAGAGGAGGACTGGATCAGGTACCGAGTCAGCTCTCCCTTTCCTGGGCCGCATGCACCTTCTGATGATTAAAGGAGACCAATCAGGTGTTGGAATTGTTGCCTCTTAAATTGACGTCACTGGTGTAATTTCATTCTTTGCCAACCATGACTGGAGACAGTGTTTTGTGTGGTGTTGGTTGGTTTTTTCTTTAGCACCCTTTTGTGATAAAGACTGAAGTGGAGGCTGGGCACGGTGGCTCACGCCTATAATCCTAGCACTTTGGGAGGCCAAGGTGGGTGAATCACCTGAGGTCAGGAGTTTGAGACCAGCCTGGCCAACATGGTGAAAACCTGTCTCTACTAAAAATACAAAAATCAGCTGGGCCTGGTGGCAGGTACCTGTAATCCCAGCTACTCTGGAAGTTGAGGCAGGAGAATTGCTTGAACCCTTAAGGCAGCGGTTGCAGTGAGCAGAGATCTCACCATTGCACTCCAGCCTGGGTGACAACAGAGTGAACTCCGTCTCAAAAAAAAAAAAAAAAAAAAAAAAAAAGTAATGCCAAAGGAAAGCCATAGCACTGTCTGAGAATTTTACAATCAGTAAAACAAAGTTCCTCTATACCCAGATATACCCAGATTTTATTTGAAAGGCCTTTCTTTGGTGCTTTCTTTTTTTCCTTTTTTTTTTTTTTTTTTTTTTTTTTTTGAGACAAAGTTTCACTTTGTTGTCCAGGCTGGAGTGCAGTGGCACGATCTTGGCTCACTGCAACCTCTGCCTCCCAGGTTCAGGCAATTCTCCTGCCTTAGCCTCCTGAGTAGCTGGGATTACTGGAGTGAGCCACCACACCCAGCTAATTTTTGTATTTTCAGTAGAGATGAGGTTTCACCATGTTGGTCAGGCTGGTCTCGAACTCCTGACCTCGTGATCCACCCACCTCGGCCTCCCAAAGTTCTAGGATTACAGGCGTGAGCCCCCGTGCCCGACCGGTTTTGTTTTTTGAGACAAGGTCTAGCTCTATTGCACTGGCTGGAGTGCAGCCTCCCAAAGTGCTGGGATAACAAGCCTGAACCACCTCGCCTGGCCAGCAATTACTTTCTAAGTTAAGCTTTCATGATAAGACCAGAGTTTCTTTTAAAGTTTAATCCAAATAACTTTGGCAAAGAGTTTCATAAACAATTGAGGTAACAATTTAGTGTTTGGCCACAGTTCTGGTTAAGCTTCTTTGTGTGTCGGTGGTTTTGTTCTGGCCTACCCACCATCACCAAGGCTATTTGTGTATGACGTGTAGCCTTCCTATGCCTGAGTATTCTCAGGACTAAGACGCACATCAGAAACATTTGCAATGTGAATGGTAATCAAAACATTGCTTCTCAGAGAGTGAGGAAGGAAGGTGGGGAATGGATAGCTTGCGATTCTCAATTCACTGATGATTCTGATACTTTATCTTCCCCTCTGCCCTCAAGAGTTTTTGGCCTGATTTAGCCACCTATCTGTAAAATATTCACCTAACTTGTATCATGGAAGATTTAATTGAAAACTTTGAAAGTCCAGAATTCTTGTTTCCCTTTTGAACAAATCTTTTAAGTTTCTCCTCTCCGTAAAATGAAGATATTAGAATGTTAGATCTAAAATTTGAAATTCCACATCATTGTGAAGCTCCAGCCCTGTGAAAGGATTCAAAGTATTTTCTCTATGGATTTTGTGTTGATGGCATCATCTTCCTGTGTCAGAAGTAGGTGGTATATTGAGAGATATACATGATACAGAATTTGTTTTTCTTCTTTATACTTTAGTGAATTGCCAGATTATTTTAACAGTGAGCACATGTTTTTATACATGTACATTTTTAATGTCTATTTTTGTTATGAAAGGACTAGATAAGCCATTTCCACTTAGGAAAAACAAGACCAAAACATAAATAAACCAGTTTGAAAACTATGGGTGGTGGCAGGAAACAGCCACTTCCAGTCAGCTGTGCTGCTACTGTGGTGATCAAAGCAGACTTTGTGTTCCAGAATTCCAGTTGTAAGACTTTAAACAGGCAGGGCGCAGTGGCTCACGCCTGTAATCCCAGCACTTTGGGAGGCCGAGGCAGGTGGATCACCTGAGGTCAGGAGTTTGAGACCAGCCTGGCCAACATGGTAAAACCCCATCTCTTCTAAAATACGAAAATTAGCCAGGCATGGTGGCTAGTACCTGTAATCCCAGCTATTTGAGACGCTGAGGCACAAGAATTACTTGAACCCAGGAGGTGGAGGTTGCAGTGAGCCGAGATTGCGCCACTGCCCTCCAGCCTGGGCAACAGAGCGAGTCTGTCAAAAAAAAAAAAAAAAAAAAAGCCTTTAAACATAAGTAGTCCATTACTGATATTGTGTATGGAGAATAAATGAGTTTCTATGACTTGTACCTTCAATTTTGTAAATGATTTTCAAAGTTCTTTCTGCAAATTATGTAGGCATAGTTTTTATTTTTAAAAAATGAGCAGTAGTAATCATTCTTAATAGAACTTGTTTGAGTTCTAGCTCCCTTTCCCCATAAGAAACAAAAAGGAGCCGGGCACGGTGGCTCACGCCTGTAATCCCAGCACTTTGGGAGGCTGAGGCGGGTGGATCACGAGGTCAAGAGATCAAGGCCATCCTGGTCAACATGGTGAAATCCCGTCTGTACTAAAAATACAAAAAATTAGCTGGGCATGGTGGTGCGTGCCTGTAATCCCAGCTACTCAGGAGGCTGAGGCAGGAGAATTGCCTGAACCCAGGAGGCGGAGGTTGCGGTGGGCCGAGATCGCGCCATTGCACTCCAGCCTGGGTAACATGAGTGAAACTCCGTCTCAAAAAAAAAAAAAAACAAACAAAAAAAAAAAGGAAACAAGAAAATGTCATTCTCCCTACCCGAACAGCTTTATTATCTTTGAGGAAGGAGCGTTGAATTTTATGTCTGCTGAGAATATATGTGTAATTCTTTTCTCTCCCAACTTTTAGGGAATATCCACCTATCACTTCAGATCAACAAAGACAACTGTACAAGAGAAATTTTGACACTGGCCTACAGGAATACAAGAGCTTACAATCAGAACTTGATGAGATCAATAAAGAACTCTCTCGTTTGGATAAAGAATTGGATGACTATCAAGAAGAAAGTGAAGAGTATATGGTAAATTCAACCTGATATTTGTGTATTATATAGATTGAATCTAATCTGTGGAGATATACAGCATCCTTTATATTAATGTTTATTTTTTAAAAAGTGCTAGTAATTATCAAACTGTAAGTTCATTGAAGAACAGCTGAGATTGGGTTTTGGATGAAATTTTTTTTTTTTTTTTTTTTGGAGATGGAGTTTCGCTCTTGTTACCCAGGCTGGAGTGCAATGGCGCGATCTCGGCTCACTGCAACCTCCGCCTCCTGGGTTCAGGCAATTCTCCTGCCTCAGCCTCCTGAGTAGCTGGGATTACAGGCACACGCCACCATGCCCAGCTAATTTTTTGTATTTTTAGTAGAGACGGGGTTTCACCATGTTGACCAGGATGGTCTCTATCTCTTGACCTCGTGATCCACCCGCCTCGGCCTCCCAAAGTGCTGGGATTACAGGCGTGAGCCACCGTGCCCGGCCTTTGAAATTCTTTTCTAATAGAAGTCTGTACTAATGTATAATAGTTAAGAATTACAAAGCACTATTCTATGTACATCTATCCTATTTAAAATAAAATAGCCAGGCCAGGCATGGTGGCTCATGGCTGTAATCCCCCACACTTTGGGAGGCCAAGGTGGGTGGATCACCTGAGGTCAGGAGTTCGAGAATAGCCTGGCCAACATGACAAAACCTCACTTCTACTAAAAATACAAAAAATAGCCGGGTGTGGTGGCAGATGCCTGTAATCCCAGCTACTAGGGAGGCTGAGGCAGGAGAATTGCTTAAACCAGGGAGGGAGGTTGCAGTGAGCTGCGATTGCACCATTACACTCCAGCCTGGGTGACAGAGTGAGACTCCATCTCAAAATAAATTTAAAAATAGCCGTGTTTTCTTTTCTATGTATAAAGCCAATTCATTCTTTCTGTAGAAGAGAACTTGAACAACACAGAACTGTATACAGAAAAAGAAATCACCTTAAATCCTACTGTCAAGAAATCCTTATCACCAAAATATTAGTTGTTAAAACAACCTCTCCAGGCAGGAGTCACATAACCTTTGTTAAGAAAACATCATCTTCCATGTTTCATTTACTTTCTTCCTGTCTTTTAAATCAGCAGTTTATGGTTATCTTTTTTTCCTCCCTTGATCATCTGGCTGAGATCGTATTTGTCCGTGTAAAGTTACTGTTTTTTTGTTTTTTTTTAAAATCCATCCTTTTCATACTGTATTTTGTATACATACTGAAATTAATATAGTTACTCCACCTTTTAGAGGGAGATTAGTCTCTTATTTATTTGTTCCTTTATCAGTCACTTATGTAAGCATGGACTTACCAGTCACTTATGTAAGTATGGACTCATGGATATCTGTTTTGTGCTGTGAGTTATAATCCAAGGCTGCTTTGTTTTGTAGCTCTAATTGTTCTCACTTTGACCATTGGGAACTCTTTCAGTCGCTTCCCTTGTCCCTTTGACATGCTCTTATCATTGTGGGGTCTTATCTTTAAAAAAAAAAAAAAAAAAACATTCTTGCACTGCTTATTTCTGGCTTTTCTTACTCAACAGCAAGTTATTTTATATTAATAATAAAGACCTACTTAGTTTTGAGTTTTTTAATGTGTTAAAATTAGGTAAAGAATTTTCAATTTGATGGCTGTATCATAATTTAAGAGTCATTTTCTATGGATAGATATTTAAATATGTCTTCCCCTACTCCAGTAGTACCAGTATATACTGGTGAACCTCTCCGTTTTTGCTCTCTTGTCTGCCTATCTAATTTTTTTTTTTTAATGTGGAGTCTTGCTCTGTCGCCGAGGCTGGAGTGCAATGGCTCGATCTTGGCTCACTGCAACCTCCGCTTCCTGGGTTCAAGCGATTCTCCTGCCATAGCCTCCCAAGTAGCCGGAATTACAGGCATGCACCACCACACCTGGCTAATTTTAGTATTTTTAGTAGAGACAGGGTTTCACCATGTTGATCAGTCTGATCTCGAACTCCTAACCTCAAGTGATCGCCTGCCTCAGCCTCCCAAGGTGCTGGAATTACAGGTGTAAGCCACGGTGCCCAGCCTGCTTATCTAATTAGAACTAATTCCAGAATGTGAAATCGTTGAGTCAGAGGGTATGTACCTTTAAACTTCTGATGCAAAATTCCTCCAGAGAGATTGCACTAACTGCATCTTCCTAGTGATGCTATACAGGGCTCGTTTGATGTACATCTCACTTATACCTGAAAATTTTTTCTGCCACTTTTCAGTTGAGGTGATCTGCTTTTTAGTTTTGACATATTCACATCTTTATATAGTTAGACTTGTGTATTTTTTTTAATGGTTTCCAGATGATGTTATAGATCTTTCTTAATTCAGTAAACATTTGTTGATCACCTATTGTTCGTTGATGATGTTGAAATGATGAGGTTAGAGACGTAAAATCTTGTCCCCACCCTTAAAGAGCTCTCATATCTTTTTTTTTTTTTTTTTTTTTTTTTTGAGAAAAGTTTTTTCTCTCGTTACCCAGGCTGGAGTGCAATGGCGCGATCTCTGCTCACCGCAACCTCCGCCTCCTGGGTTCAGGCAATTCTCCTGCCTCAGCCTCCTGAGTCGCTGGGATTACAGGCATGCGCCACCATGCCCAGCTGATTTTTTGTATTTTTAGTAGAGACGGGGTTTCACCATGTTGACCAGGATGACGATCTCTTGACCTCGTGATCCACCCGCCTCGGCCTCCCAAAGTGCTGGGATTACAGGCTTGAGCCACCGCGCCCGGCCAGGAGCTCTCATATCTTAAGAAAAAAACTGACATCTAAAACAAAAGAGAACAAAAACAAAAAAAAAAAAAAAAAGAAAAAAACCGGTCATCTAAACAATTTAGACAATATAATTAATGCTGTATTTGCATCATGTGTAGAAAGCAGTATAACTGACTGCTTATAGGAGAAATAAAGTCTTTGAAGGCTTCACAGTGAAGGAACCATTAACAATTTTCCAGACAGAAGGGTGGGGAGAGGTGCATGATTACAGTCATAAGGAAACAGGATCAAAATCTTGAGGCATTTAACATGTCTCAGTTTTTTTTTTTTTTTTTTTTAATATTTTCATATTTATTTATTTATTTATTTTTTGAGACAGAGTTTCGCTCTTGTTACCCAGGCTGGAGTGCAATGGCGCGATCTCGGCTCACTGCAACCTCTGCCTCCTGGGTTCAGGCAATTCTCCTGCCTCAGCCTCCTGAGTAGCTGGGATTACAGGCACGCGCCACCATGCCCAGCTAATGTTTTGTAGTTTTAGTAGAGACGGGGTTTCACTGTGTTGACCAGGATGGTCTCGATCTCTTGACCTCGTGATCCACCCGCCTCAGCCTCCCAAAGTGCTGGGATTACAGGCGTGAGCCACCATGCCCGGCCCATGTCTCAGTTTTTAAAGGAGTTGCTGATGATGTGCACTGAGACTGGAAAGGTAGGAAACTGGATGAAGGGAGAAGTTAGTGGGAAGTTCAGACCACCTGATCAGAGCTCTGTGTTATAAAAGATCTTCCTGGTGTCAGTGTAGCATGGGGACTGGCACGAAGGAGAGATGAGAAGTAGCTGAACAGATAGTTACCTGCCTATGTGAGTGAAATGTGAAAGATACAGTATCATAGATGTCTTTTCACTGAATTCCTTCAGATCTTCCTGCTGATCATGAGTTTTAGGTATTTTATGACTTCATTCTTTTAATTGCTTATATTTTTGTTGTCAGCTGTCATTTTTATCTTCAAAGTATAACATAAGGAATATTACTTTTGAGAGAGAAAATGCCCCAATAAACATATTCCTTTGTGTTTCTCATTAATAGTCTGCTGCTGATGAATACAATAGACTGAAGCAAGTGAAGGGAGTAAGTATTGGAGATTGTTCTTTAGAAGAACTGTTCTTTTTTGTTTTTTATTCTTGTACCTACTCATCTGGAGGGAGAACTTTTCTGTGTTACTCATTTTTATTTTTCTTAAATTTTCTTACATCTAATTTAGCATTTAGAATGACTATGAATTCCTTGTCACATATGCACTGATTATCATAAAAAGCCCTTAAATTAAAGATGAAAACTATAACTGAGGTTTTGGAACTTTAATTTCAGCTATTTAAAGCTACAACCAGTACTGATTTTTTAAACCTTTTAATTATTTTTTTAAATTCAATGCGTGTTTATTGAGATAGTTTCCCATTCATCTTGACTCAAGGTACTCTGGGTGCTGCTTCCTCCCTAGGGAGCATCTTTCGTTAAGCCTTGCTTTGCCTCCTGTAGGCTGCGAAGGACAGTGGAGCAGCCAACACACAAAACTACTGCTAGTGCCTGGCTGACGCCTATGGTGATTTTATCGCATCCTGGGCGTTTACACCCATGAAGTAGGAGTAGGGGCTCTGCACCAGGCGTTACTGCTTGGGTTTCCTTTTCTCCTCTTCTGGAGAGGGTTGAAGGAGATCCTCTGTGAGAGACATGTTGTGGGGGAATTGCCACCACTGGAAAAGATGATTATTAATTATATTTTTTAAAAGTTGAAGTATACATACAGAAAAGTGCACAAATCAAAATATATAACATAGTGAATTTTCACAGTGTGACCACATACCTGTGTGTGCAGATCAAGAAATGTATTTCCTCCAGTGCCTCCCCACCCCCGGCACCCCCACCCCACCCCTTGTACTCCTTTTCAGTGTTTACCCTCTTTCCAGAGGGGTCCACCATGCTCACTTCTAACATCATAGGTAGAGTTTTGGTTATCTTGAATATAACATAAATGGAACCATATAGTATGTATTTTGTATGTGATTTCTTTTGCTCAGTACTGTGTTTGTAAGGGTCCATTGATGGTTTATTAATATTATTTTGAGATGGAGTCCTGCTCTGTTACCCAAGATGGAGTGCAGTGGCACGATCTCCGTCCACTGCAACCTCCACCTCCCGGGTTCAAGCAATTCTCTTGCCTCAGCCTAGCTGGGATTATAGGCACTTACCACCATGCCTGGCTAATTTTTTTATTTTTAGTAGAGACAAGGTTTCGCCATGTTGGCCAGGCAGGTCGTGAATTCCTGGCCTCAAGCAATCCGCCTGCCTTGGCCTCTCAAAGTGCTGGGATTACAGGCGTGAACCACTGCACCTGGCCAGTTCATTGATTTTTATTGCTGTGTAGTGTTGTATATAAAACACAACTTTATGCATCCATTCTATTGTTAGTGAACATTTGGGTTGTTCCCAGTTTTGGGCTTTTAAAAATATTGCAGCTTCAGACTAGGCACGGTGGCTCACACCTGTAATCCCAGCACTTTGGGAGGCCGAGGCAGGCGGATCACCTGAGGTTGGGAGTTCGAGATCAGCCTGACCAATATGGAGGAAAAAATAATAATAAATTGCAGCTTCAAACATATTTGTAAATGTTTGAACATAGAAGTGATGAGCATGTGTGTATCCAGCTTTAGTAGATACTGTCTTGTTTTGTTTTGTTTTTTTGAGATGGAGTTTCACTCTTGTTGCCCAGGCTGGAGTGCAATGGCGCAATTTGGCTCACCGCAACCTCCACCTCCTGGGTTCAAGCAATTCTCCTGCCTCAGCCTCCCGAATAGCTGGGACTACAGGCATGTGCCACCATGCCCAGCAAATTTTTGTATTTTTAGTAGAGATGGGGTTTCACCATGTTGACCAGGATGGTCTCGATCTCTTGACCTCATGATCCACCCGCCTCGGCCTCCCAAAGTGCTGGGATTATAGGCATGAGCCACCGCGCCCGGCCTAGTAGATACTGTCAAACAACCTTCCAAGTAGTTACACCAGTTTACATTCCCACCAAACACCCCAGACTCCTGTTGTTCTGTACCCTTGGTAACACTTGGCATGTCAGTCATTATTGACTTAAAACATTTAAAAAAGTTCTATATTAACATTTTTGTAAATTATCCAGGTGCTGTGATACATACCTATAGTCCTAGCTACTAGAGAGACTGAGACAGAATTCCTTGAACCCAGGCGTTGAGAGCTGCAGGGCGCTATAATTGTACCACTGCACTCCAGCCTGGGCAATAGGATGAGACCCTTTCCCCCCCCAAAAAAGTTATAAATTACAGGCATCATGATTTTAAATAAGAGTTTAAAGGGTATACAGTAAAATTTCCCATCTCTCTTATCCCCTATTCCGTTTTCCTTTCCCCAGTCAACCGAGATCACCAGTTTCTTGTTTTACTTACAGTTTTAGATGATGTGTTAGCTAAAAGGCCCATAAGTTTTCTTGGTCATTTTGCAGATTTTTAGAAATGAGGCTATCCTTTGTAAAAACCCAGGTTAGAAAATAGGATTGAGCAAACAATCGGCTGCCTGTGTGGTTAGTGATACTGCCAGGCACCTTGAGTATATTACTTCAGTCAACACTCCCAATAATTCTCTGACTAAATCTTCCATTTTTTTGTTCACCTCTACCTTCCCAACAGACCTGCTTTTATTTTGTTGAATTTATGTGATTTATTTTCTCCCTTTTTAGTCTGCAGATTACAAAAGTAAGAAGAATCATTGCAAGCAGTTAAAGAGCAAATTGTCACACATCAAGAAGATGGTTGGAGACTATGATAGACAGAAAACATAGAAGGCTGATGCCGAGTTGTCTGAGAAATTAAGTATCTGACATCTCTGCAATCTTCTCAGAAGGAAATGACTTTGGACCATAACCCAGGAAGCCAAACCTTTGTGAGCATCACAAAGTTTTGGTTGCTTTAATATCGTCAGCATTGAAGCATTTATAAATAGCTTTCAATAATCAACTGGGCTGAACACTCCAATTAAGGATTTTATGCCTTAAACATTGGTTCTTGTATTTGAAAGAAATACTGTTTGAGGTTTTTAAGCCTTAAAGGAAGGTTCTGGTGTGAACTAAACTTTCACACCCCAGACAACGTCTTAATACCTACAGGTATTTGTTTGCATAGGTGATCTCACTTAATCCTTTCAACCACCCTTCAGATAACTGTTATTTATAATTCTTTTCCACATAAGGAAACTGGGTTCCTGCAATGACCTCTCTGAAGTGAAACTGCTTGTTTCCTAGCACACAGTTTTAGTTAAGTCTGTTTTATGACTCCATTAATAATAAAGTCCCTGGCCTTTCATATTTTAGCTACTATGTATTTAACAATCTAACAGCCTCTCTATTAATTTTTTTTCTGTTATGTGAATGGTTAAAAGAGGTTTTTCTTATGTTATCCTGATAATAAAGATCATGTAAAAGTAACAAATGTGTGAAATTTAAAGATTGTAAATATATACGTTTTTAAAATCAAAGTTTAAACCCAGTGGTTAGAATTTTGTGTATTTTTAAATACTTTTTATCTTTTATGGTTTATATGCATTTTTTTAAAACCAGCTAGACCTTTTCATTATATCAGAATATCTGATTACATTTGTAATTCCATTGTGACTTGACCTGTATCTTATAGGATTCAATTTCCATACATATTTTATAAGGTATTAAATCTGATGTTTCCATAATAACCTGTTTGATATTGTTAGTGCTGTTAACATACAGCTGTGGAAAACCACACTCAGGAGTTGTATCTGTTGTTGTTTATACTCTTTTGGGTGCTATGCTGGTTGGTCATTTCCCAGTCCGTTGGCTGTAGGAATGCTGATGTGTCTGGAAATAGAATGCTATACCATGAGATACCAAATAATTTCAAATGGTGCCCTTAAATTGTATCACTTTTTTTAAAATTCAGATTTTTTTTTTTGGGGGGGTGGGGCCTGTGGATTCATACACATGCAATGGGTTGTATTATAGGAGAGGAATGCTACAGCAAGAGCCTTGGGAACCCACCATTTTATAGCAGTCTGTAAGAAAGCCTGTTTTTTTGTTGGAAAAATTCAGATGCTTATTAGTAAAATAAAATTAGTTGATAGCACTGTGCTAAGTTGATTGTGATCATTCTAGTTTAGACTTTTCTAAAACCCTTTTTTAGAATAATCTATAAACTGCCTTTTGTATGCATTTAAGACATTTAAGTATATAATTTTTGATATTTTGAATTATTTTCCAGAGATAAACTTTTAAATGTTTCCATTATATGATTTATTTCTTCAAATTGAATAAATTCTTAATCTTCTGCATGCTGTTCATAATTATACAAAAGTTTTTTGAGATAGAGGCTTGCTCTGTTGCCAGGTGCCAGGCTGGAGTGCTATCTCGACTCACTGCAACCTCTACCTCCCGGGTTCAAGCAATTCTCCTGTGTCAGCCTCCCGGGTGGCTGGGACTACAGGTACATGTCACCACGCCCAGCTAATTTTTGTATTTTAGTAATGGGGTTTTTCACTATGTTGGCCAGGATGGTCTCGATCTCTTGACCTCATGATCCGCCCGTCTTGGCCTCCCAAAGTGCTGGGATTGCAGGTGTGAACCACCATGCCTGGCCAATACAAACGATATTTTCATAGCTTTTGGGTTTATACCAAATGAAAAGGACTCTCTTGATGAGTACCTTTAACTGCCTTTCCTGTGTTAAATTTTTAACAACTTGTTCTGGAAGTCAGTGTACTTATTTCATGAAGGCAAATTTGTCAGTATTTTCACAAAACAAAACTATTCAGCTGTAGTTAGAAAGTGAAGTAGCAAGAATTTACATTGTAAAGTTGTGCCATGAAATTGGACTTTGAAACTTTAAAAATGAGAAAAATTTTCACATGTATTTATTCCAAATACCATTTAGGAAACCAGGATCAGAGTGTTTCTGTTGGTGTTGGCATTAACCAGCTGGATGTAAATTTGAAAACCCAGTCACTCAGTTTCCTAGTCTAAAAAGTCAGAGGTTTTAGATTAGATTTCTGACATCCCTTCCATTTCTGACCTGTGGTTCTTGTTGCAGTTCTGCTTTGTTATAAACCATTGTTCTAAGGAGTTTGTTGAAAGCACATAGTTCATTTTATAAAGATTCCCTGCGTATGTGATGTCCTACATGTGTGACTTTGTATTAAAAGTATATAGGATCAATATTTTATTTTGAAAAATTTAAAGAAATACGGAGAAGTATAAAATAGAAGTATCAACCACCCAGAAATAACATGTTAATGTTTTGTTACATGTGCCTCCTATTTTTTTTGAAATAAAATGAAGTCAACTAGTATTTGTTGTAAATAAGTTATATATACATAAATACATGATATTTAATCCTCACAATCTTTTGACATGTGACCATTTCTTGTTTTATAGACAAGGAACTAATGATATGATACACTAACAAGTGGCAAAACAAGGAATTAGGATCTTGGTCTCTTGGACTGTTAAGATTTTTTTTTTTTTTTTTTTTTTAAAGACAGGGTTTCACCATACTGGCCAGGCTGGTCTCAAACTCCTGACCTCAGGTGATCCCACCTTGGCCTCCCAAGGTGCTAGGATTACACTACACCCAGCCTGGACTATTAGATTCTATACTTCCATCCTCTGTTGACTTTGTTAATCAATGGACTGGCTAATGTGAGATAGATCATTATGATGTAAATAAAGTATCCTATTTTAATATTGAGTGCATTTTAAGTACTTATAAAGGCTTCCTGGGAAATAACTGTAATTTGTAAAGACCTGAATGGGTACATGTGTGTAAATAAAAATCAGGGCAGAAAAGTGCTTTTATCATGGCTCCAGGGACCTTAGCTTCAGTTGGTGTTGAGAATCCCTCACACAAGGACATTCTCCTTGCTTCAGCATCAGGATGGAAGCGTTTCCCATCTGGACTTTTTCAAAGACTCAGCTGGAGGAATCAGACTTCATAATTTCCTGGCAGCTCATGATTCTGCTACACTACACCATGCCATCTCGTGTGAAAGGACAAATTTGATGGAGGACTGCGTCGTCCCTCTTGTTTCTTACTGTCTACATTTATTCTAATGGGAAGGAGTGGGCAAAAACAATAATTTGGGTAGTTTTTAAAAAACATTGTGTTCGTAAATTAGAATAGTGCCATTTTGGCGTTATGAGAAGCATGGATCCATAACTAAGGTTTTGTGTGTGACTACAATGAAATGTGGAAATGTGTCTCCGGAAGGTTTCCAGTTGCTACCACAAGACCTCCTTGGTATTGCGTGCATGTGTTGTCCTATTTTTACTTTGTCCTTCTGCAGTTACTTGCTGTGGCACCTTGGAGAAATTAGCCCCCCTTCAGTTTTTTGTATATGTAAAATATATTTGTAATAATCTCATAGTTAATGTGTGACTCAGTCCTTGTACAAAAGTAAATATGCCTAGCTACCCCTATCTTCCAAAGCCAGAAGGTGAAACTTTAACAAGTTTTTTTTTTTTTTTTTTTTTTTTTTTTTTTTTGCCAGGGGAGGGGGAAAGGGGAGAAAGCAAGAGGGCACTTTAACAAGTTTTCTAAAAGCAAATTGTGTTTTTTAAAGTGCGGGTATCATCCAATCCCATATGATTGGTCTGTGCTGGGTGCAGCCTTAGAGTGTAAATTCTTTTGAGTTCTAGACAGAGAATACAGGTTTGGCATTTATTTTTACATGATAAATGCTTCTTTAGGATAGAGCAAATAGCTTGCATATCAAGATCACAATTGTTAGATACTGTTGTCAGTTAACAGAGGTTTTCAATGAGGCCTTCTGGAATGATTTAGTTTTCCTGTAAGGGAACCTGTCTATTCAGGTTGCATGCGTTTTATATCTCACTTTGATACACTGGCTAAGATGATTGTGAATGTCCTAACCCTGTTGATTGTGTCCAGCCACGCATAGGCAAAGAACAGATTATTCCATTATTTATAGTTTTACAAGTTGAAAAAAGCATCTGAGTAGGTTACATAATTTATTCTACCACTTTGAATATGATTAGAATATTATGTCAGTCATGTGCATGCCAAGAAGTTATAGATTTATGCATGTTTTATATTGGTTTGCTTTAGTACCATTCCTAGTTGAATCTTAACATCCATATCTGGAATCTAAACAGAGCAGGTATTACAGTTAGGAAAACTCTTTCAGTCTTCTCCCTTCACCAATATGTTTAATATCTATTGGGTAGTCCTCTGTCCTTTTCCTGGTTTTCCTTAAAGTCTTTTCCTCTAGGCTGTTTGTCCTAGAGGAATGCATCCCATCTTGCAATAGGATGGTTGGTTAGGATTGATGGAAGGAAGGAAGGAAAAGTGTGGTTAGGAAGAAAGGGCACGAAAGATGTGGAGTTTGTATGTGAGTTCTCTAATGGGATCAAAAGTGGGAGGGAGGCAAGCATGGAAGCTTCACGACATTGCACAACTAATTTCCCCTTCTCTCCCTTTAAAAACTTTTTTCGCCGGGCGTGGGGCTCACGCCTGTAATCGCAAAACTTTGGGAGGCCAAGGCGGGCAGATCACCTGAGGTCTGGAGTTGAGACCAGCCTGGCCAATATGGTGAAACCCCATCTCTACTAAAAATATAAAAATTAGCCGGGCGTGGTGGCAGGCGCCTGTAATTCCAGCTACTTAGGAAGCTGAGGCAGGAGAATTGCTTGAACCCAGAAGGCAGAGGTTGCAGTGAGCCAAGATCATGCCGTTGCACTCTAGCCTGGCGGATGAGAGCGAGACTGAGTTTTTTTTTAAAAAAAAAAAACAGAGTCTCGTTCTGTCGTCAGGCGCCAGGCTGGAGTGCAGTGGCGCAATCTTGGCTCACTGCAACCTCCGCCTCCCAGGATCAAGCAATTCTCCTGCCTCAGCCTTCCGAGTAGCTGGGACTGCAGGTGCGCGCCACCACGACCAGACCAGCTAATTTTGTATTTTTTTGGTAGAGACGGGGTTTCTCCATGTTGGATGATCTCAATCTCTTGACCTCGTGATCAGCCCGCCTCGGCCTCGCAAAGTGCTGGGATGCTGGGATTACAGGCGTGAGCCACCGCACCCGGCGAGACTGTCTTAAAAAAAAAAAAAATGCAAAGACAACACAAAAACTAAACAATAAAATCTTGTCTTCTGGGAAGAAATGAGACTGGTTACAGAGCTGCCACTAAGTCCTGTAGGGTTGGTGGAGACAAGCCCATTTTACACATTAGTTCATAGACTTCGGTTGTGACTTGCTTGAGGTCACCCAGCCAGTGTGTCAGAGCCTGATTTTCAATCCAGGGATGTTCTTTCCACTGTTATGCAAGATACCTTCTGTTTAGATTTTTGAGGGAGACAACAGAGATGAGAAGAATTTTGTAACAATAAAATAAAGACAATGGAGGGGATGAATATGCTGATGTAGAAAGAAAGAGGCCCCAGCTTCTGCAGTGCCTTTGTTATTCCTAATCCTTTTCTGATCGTCTGGGGGTGCACTGTCTCTCCATTTCTCAGGTATGCCAGTGATTCCACTCGTATTAATCGGCACTCAAATGACTTGTCCAAAACTGAATTCATCTTACTGACTCCGCCAACATTTCAATAATTGCAACTCCAACCTTTCGGTTGCTGAGCTAAAGACTTTAGAGGTATCTTTTATTCTTTTTTCATAACACACATCCGGTGTATTGGGAAGATTAAGAATTCAGTCACTTCTCACCAGCTGCTGGTCCAAGCCATCACAACACAATTCCTCCAAAGCTCTTAGCAATGCTCACAGCCTCTCCTCCCCACCTTACACTTTTGATGGCAGCTGCCACTGCGTATCCCCTGCTCACTCCTGCAGTCGTCAAAGAGCCCAATATACTTCTACCTCAGGGCCTTTGCACTTGCAGCTCTCTTTGTCTGAAGAGCTTTTTCCCTAGGTATCAGCAGGGTTAACACCCTTCCTCATCCAGGTCATGGCTTAACTGTCTTCTCAGCGAAGACTCCTGGCCACCCTATTTCACTTTATTTTATTTTTTGAGACGGCGTTTTGCTCCTGCCACCCAGGCTGGAGTGAAAATGGCGCGACCTCGGCTCGCTGCAGCCTCTGCCTCCCGAGTTCAAGGGATTCTTCTGTCTCAGCCTCCCGAGTAGCTGGGATTACAGGCGCCTGCCACCAGGCCCGCCTAAAATTTTGTATTTTTAGTAGAGTTGGGGGTTTCACCATGTTGGCCAGGCTGGTCTCGAACTCCTGCCCTCAGATGACCCACCCCCCTCGGCCTCCCAAATCTCCATGCCTGGGATTACAGGAGTGAGCCAACGCGCCCAGTCTGGCCACCCTATTTTAAACTGCAATTTTTCCCCTTCAATGCTTAGTTTTTCTCCACAGCACTATCACCATTTCATATAGTATATGTTTTTCTTCATAGTGACTCCCCTTGGAGAAGGAAAACTCCACGAGAGCAAGGATTTTTTGTCAGTTTTTCATTGCTATTTCCTCAGTGCTTAGACATGCATCAGGTCCAAAGTAGATGATTAATGTTAGCTGAATGAACAGCAAGAGCAACGGAGGAGTCCTGAAATACACAGCAGGAATCAAGGATAGCTCTGGCCTTGCTTCTATGGCCAGGTTCCTTCATCCCAATCTATCAGAAGCAGAAAAACTAGATCGAGCTCCTCAGAACCCAGGTCGACGGCTGCAGAGCCTTCGACCTTCCGAGAACGAATGGCGACCACTCTTTATGGTTCTCTGTGAATTCCAGCTGGAAGGCGGTCCCTTTCCGCGCCTCAGGTCAGCGCCGAGCATGCTCTGCACCCGAGCGCCCCGCTCCGGCAGCTGCCGCCTGCAACAGCCGGAACGTTTCGGCTTGGCAGCAGCGCGCGGCGGAAGGACTTCGGGGTCGCACCTAAAGCAGCGGGGCGGAGCTTCCGGCTGAGCGTCCTTCCAGCGGGGCCGGTGAGTCCACGGGTGCAAGTCTGTGAGGCGGAGAGGTGGGGCAGGACATCTGGCTAGCTAGGCGGCTAGGAGGGTATTCGTGGCGGGGAACAGAGGCTGAATTGCCCTGCCTGGGCTTGTAGGAAAGGTGGATGTGAGGGAGCGTGTGAACGCAGAGGAAGGTAACTTTCGTCTGGGGAGCTGCCCAGTAGCATTGGAGGCTGCAGGCCCTCCCTCCCTGAGTAAAAGCGCAGCTTTTAGAAATGATGGTTCAGGGTTCGAGTTTGTGATCCGATTGAGAGAGTGACCAACCTCTGACCCTGAATCCCATACCTGAAAAATAAGGACAATAATGACCCTTGCCAGTTTCATAGTACTTGGTAGGGTAAGGTGTGGGGGAAAGCTTCTTACATCGCGATGTTTGGTGCTCTCATTTGTTTGCAGATAACATTCCGAGCTCATGTAACGGGAATCACACCAGTAGGCATATGCTGAGGAATGTGGATTGTCTGGGGTTGGATTCTAGGAAAGAGACCACTGATTATATATATATATATATATATATATATTTGAGAAGTCCTTTGATGTGATCAGCCGAAAGTCTCTCAGTTCCTATTTTTGTTTATTTATTTATTTAGAGACAGGGTCTCCCTCTGTCACCCAGTCTGGAGTGCAGTAGTGAACACGACTCACTGCAGCGACTCTCCTGGGCTCAAGCCATCCTTCCGCTTTACCCTCCCAAGTAGCTGGGACTAAAAGCACTCGCCACCTCTCCCAGCTTATTTTTTGATGTTTTATAGAGGCGAGGTCTCACTTTATTGCCCAGGCTGGTCTGGAACTCCTGAACTCAAGTGATCCTTTTGCCTTGGCCACCCAAATTGCTGGGATTATAGGTTTGAGCCACTGTCCTGCCAAGAATTTGATTTTAAAAACATTGAGAACATTGCCACGCCGATAATCCCAGCACTTTAGAGACTTTTCCGTCTCTACTAGAAAGTAATCGGATTGTTGGATCGACATACATGTAGCCAACAAATATATGAAAAAATGCTCAACATTACTGATCATTAGAGAAATGCAAAACCACAATGCAAATCAAAATCACAAAACCATCTCACCACCAGTCAGAATGGGTGTTATCAAAAGTCAAAAAATAACAAATGTCGGCAAGGTTGTGGAGAAAAGGGAACGCTTCTCCACTGTTGGTAGGAATATAAATTAGTTCAGCCAGTATGGAAAGCAGTTTGGAGATGTCTCAAAGAACTATGTTTAATTTTGTCTTTTTTTAAAAAAAAATTATGAGCCGTAAGCATTTACCCATTTATAAATAATAAATGTCATTTAAAACCTTTTGGTTTTGAGAAAATTTAGACATACACAAAGATGGAGAGAGAGTGCAATGAATCACGTATGTCACTCAGCTATAATAATTAGCTATGTCTAATCTTGTTCAGCTACACCCATACTCCTCACAGTTTGTCATGTGACACAT